GTCCCTCTGGAACCCCCTGGATCCACTACCCCAGGGATTAGGTTTTTGGCGAGGTAGGGTGGGTTTCCCCGGGATCCCCCCCCAGGCGGGGTTGGCTTGGGGGGTTCGGATGGAACGGTATAACCCCATACCCACGATAATAATGTACCCCCCCCCCCCTATACACATAAGAGTTGATTATCCACGGCCAGTAAGAGTTTGGTCGGGGGCGCGGGGCGCGGAGGCCGAACTTCATTATCACGGGGAAAAGCTCGCCATCGAGGTTACTTCCTTCTTATGTTGAGATAACAACACCAAGCGAAGCGAACACGCTTTTTCAGGATGTCTCAAGCGAAACCAATGTCCTTACGTCTCTTTGTAGTTATGTTTATCTTTATTTCTTTATTTCTCTGTCTCTCTCTCTCTCTCTCTCTCTGTCTCTCTATCTCTGTCTCCTCCTCCTCCCTCTGGCGCCCTGAACTTGTTTATCAATGGGTTGATTATCCTGGGAAAACGAGGCACGTGAGCTACCCTACACGAGCAGATGAAACTTATATGTTTCATTAAGCATTTACACATTAAGTCTAATAATGGTTTAACTTTTGATTTTTGCTATCTCCTTCTCATCTCCTCCTCTTGCTGTTTCTCCTCCTCCTCTTCCGCCTCTACCTCCTCTTCTCTTTCTATATTTCTACGTATCTCTCTATATTTCTTCTCCTCCCCCTGCCCCCCTGAACTTGTTTATCGCTGTGGTTGATTATCCTGGGAAAACGGGGCACATGAGGAATCTCTATAGAAACTCCGACACGTTCCTTCAGCCTCCTTAAAGGGCTCCAGATTTTCAATTTCGTTATTGGATTTAAATGTCGATTTATTAATGGTGAATAATCTAGAAGTGAAGCTCAGAGGCGCGCGCGCGCACCTCCGAGCTTCAGTTCTGTATTATAAAATTATTAAAAGCCGACGCGTTCCTTCAGGATGTTTCAGAGAGGACCAAAAGCTAAGGATGTCTCAAGATATCCTCGGATTTGGCTCCTCTGTTAACATCTTTATGCTGGCCTCTGGTGGGCAACTTTTATTATCACCCCGTAACCGCCGAACTTTATTATCCCTGGGGTTTTATTCTCGGGAGCATGGGGTCACTGGGAACGTTTCTCATCCTGACTGTGCGAATTGATGACCTCAGGCAGCGCGCCAGACCGGGGGCCCACAACTCTTCCCGCCCAGGACGAGCCTGAGCCCCACTGAGAAGCGACCTGGAGATCCCCCAGGGCAGCCAGGGCATGGTGGCGGGATGGGCCGCGTGATACCAAAACACGTGATAATCTTGCAGGTCTTCACATCGGGGGCGTCCAAGAGGCATGTGCGCGGGCGAGAGGGGGTCCAAAGGACATGTTGAAAGAAGAAGAAGAAGAAGAGGAGACCATGAAATCCTGATTAATTTCATGGGCCCGGCTATGATACCCAACCCCTCCCGAGTCATCACCCTCCGTTGACACTCCTGATCGAAGGCAGGGGATCCCGTATCCCGAGGAGTCCCGAAGTATTCCGCATGACTTGTTCCCCAAACCCGAGAACGCAGCTGGGAGCACGAGCCCCCAAATATGGCTTGAGTTGGCCCCAAGATTGGCGTAGATAACGGTGGCTGGTCCCCCAGATCGCCCGAGCTGGCCCAAGATTGCATCCAGGATGACCCCCTGCGAGGCCCCGGGACAGGCTGGGGCGATCCAAGGAGGCCCCTGAGCCTCCCAAGAACGCCCCCGACATGGACAAGCCTGATGTACATGTTCCACAGATTCGGCTCAAGGGTATCAGAGGGAGCGATAAGGCCCCAAGATGGCCCTGGAGGGACCCACGAGGACTCCAAAAAGGTGCTCCCGAAGGCCCCTACTTCGGAGGGCGTCAACTATACACTTGCACCGATCCTGGCCAGGCCCATCCTGGGGCCAGGATCGGTGTGCATGCCTTCATCGCCAAGCCAGGAGGGCGTGGGAGTGGCCAGGCTCGGTGTAGGTGTATAGTTAGCGTCCTCCGACCACTGTTCCAACGAAAGCAAAAAAAAAAAAACAAGGAAAGAGAGTCGCTGGAAGGACCCTGGTAGCCCCCCGGAGACCCCCAGAGAGCCCCAAAGGAAGGCCCAGGAGAGGCCAGAAAAGGGATCCACGAGCCAGGCCCCAGGAGAACGGATCGAAAAATCTAGCCCTCCTCTCGCAAGACCCCGAGATACCCAGCAGACTCCCAATGATAGCAACACGGTTCGGAACGCACAACCCTCCTCCTCCTCCTCCTCCTCCTCCTCCTCCTCCTCCTCATCCTCTTCCTCCTCCTCATCCTCCTCGTCCTCTTCCGCTCCGCTTCTGTCGTTACATATGCTTATGATTAGCTGCGTGTCGTTCCCGTCGTGCATGTTCTTCCCCTCCCCCTTCCGCTAAAGGCAAAGGTAAGTGGGCTGCTGGCCGTCGCCGTCGGGCAAAGAATTCTGACGTGGATGAAGGCCTACCGAAACCTCAGGGACCCACCGGCACCAGTCGTTGGCGTGCAGGACGTGGACGCGGCCAAGGCCATGATCGTAGAGGGAGTGGGTCGGGGGCGGGAGGGGCGGGTGGCGGGTGGGGGGGGGGGATGGAGGACGTAAGCTGCTGGTCCCCATGGTGGTATCCGCCCTGGGTCGCGTGCCCGTTGCGCTGACCGCCCACAAAGGAGCAGCGGGGGCTGATGCCCGAGTGGCTATGGTCGCTTGGGCAGCTTCTCGGGTCACAATGTTACGCCCATAAGCGTTCACTGCACCGTTCCTTTGTGACAGTTGGTCGTTTCCAGGGCCATCTCGACTCGACTCGATTCGACTCGACTCGACTCAACTCGACTCCTCCTCCTCCTCCTCCTCATCCTCCTCGCCATCATCATCATCATCATCATCATCATCATCATCATCATCATCATCATCATCATCATCATCATCATCATCATCATCATCATCATCAAAATCATCATCATCATCATCATCATCAGCATCATCATCATCAGCAGCAGCAGCAACAGCATCAGCATCAGCATCAGCATCAGCATCAGCATCATCATCATCATCATCGTCATCATCAGCATCGTCATCAGCATCAGCATCATCATCAGCATCAGCATCATCATCAGCATCATCATCAGCAGCAGTATGATCATCAGCATTATGATCATCAGCAGTAGCAGTACCAGCAGCAGCAACAGCATCATCATCATCAACAGCATCAGCATCAGCATCAGCATCGGCATCATCATTGTCGCCGTCGTAGTCAGAAGCAGCATCATCACCAGCATGCTCGTCGTCACATTCGTTGTCAGCAGCAGCATCGTCAGCATCGTCGTCATCATCATCATCATCAGCGTCATCCTCAACATCAACATCATCAGCATCAGCATCAGCAGCAGCATCAGCAGTATCATCATCATCATCATCATCATCATCATCATCATCATCATCATCACCATCACCATCATCAGCATCATCACCATCATAATCAGCACCATCATCATCACCACACACAACCACCATACTCATCAATCGTAACAGACATCATCATGATCATCAGAAGCGGCATCAGTACCAGCATCAGCATCACCACCACCACCATCGGCATCATCATCATCAGCATCAGTATCATCATACTGATCGTACTTATCAGAATCGTCACCGTCGTCGTCATCGTCATCCTCCCCACCAGAATCATCATCAGTATCGTCGTCAGCATCCTCATCATCATCGTCATCATCAGCATCATCAGCAGCAGTATCATCAGCAACTGCATGATCCTCATCAGCATCACCATCATCATCATTACTCTCCATCACCATCACTCTCCATCATCATCTTCATCGCCGTCATCGCCATTCACAGTATCGCCTCCTCCGCCTCCTATGCCTCTTCATTATCCTTCTCGACCTGCATGGATAGACCGATGGAGGGACGTAAGCATGCATGAGGCAAGGGGAAGGAGAGGGCTGGAAAGTGGTGGTAGAAACGCACTACATCCCGGGCACGCCGGTGAGGAGGGCCGAAGCCCACTGGGACAACTGTTCGCGATGCACCTCGCAGCGCACGCTGTAAGACGAAAACGCATCTCCAGCGAAGCCGCGTCGGCTGCGCGCCTGCAACAACAATCTCCACTCCGATCGCAAGCATTCCCGCGCTCGTGCAGGCTGGTTGGGGCATGCAGTCATAGCTTGTGGGGGGGACCCTTCACCTTCAGGCCTCACAGCAAAGCTCAGACCGCCGCGCAGGCCACTCGGCCGCGGCGCGCCACAAGGAACCTCGGGTAACGAACATAACCCTTGCTCGGCCCCAGCGGAAGGAACCTTGGGTGAAGAACTGAGCCGCCCTAGCCGCGCCAGGATTTACTACAAGCCTCGTCAAAAAAAAACAGAAAACTTCTGAATTCGGTGATTGTGGGGTCAGTGCTACTCCAATGCTGACGGATGCCTGTTGACTCGGACGCGGTGTTGTCCAAAAAACGGCCACACCCTCTCAGCATTGAAGAACGCGCTTTCTGACAAGTGCCCGAAAGCATCGTGCTCCAGGAATTCAATTTCCATCTCTGGATATTTTTGACGAGACTTGTAGGTAAGGCTCGGATAAAATCATCGTGCTACCAAAAGGCGAGCTGAACAACAAGCGAAGAGGCTATCCCGGTCACGCCGAGCCTCGGCCACGAACAGGTCCCCCTACCCAGACCGCAGGAGCAGCCCGACAACGAGAGCCCCTCCTGAGCGCAGAGTGGTCCTACATTTTTCAGCGTGGCTTCAAGGACCCGTCCCAAGACCGGAGAGGCCACTGATCCAGAGCTCCCACTGCACTGTGCACTGTGTACGGAGCGCGCGCGAGAGCGCGGCGCATTCTACCCCAACGCACGCACGTCGCCGAAGGTGCGAGCGGATCGACAGCGGAGTATCTTCGCGGAGTGCCTTCGCCGGCGCGTTGGCCCGCTGGCCCACGCGCGCAATGCATGGCGCGAGGCTGCGGAGGGGGCGCGGTCCGATCGTCTGCCGGCCTTGTACTTTATCAC